CTGGTCCTTTGGTAGAGCACATGAGTGGATTTGCATGGCTTATCTGCACGTGCTGGCTGTATGACCCCTACTGACCCTTTGACTCCCTGGCGCGTGCTGTTGGCAGCTAGATCGAATGTCGTGATAAGCTTTGCCATACGTAAAAGGTCAGGCAGACAGACCCGATGGCCTGGCAGTTTGGTGACCGATCTATGGAGCACACAGCGGGGGGGGGAGGGTGTGAATTTGGTTTATCGGCTGCCGTTTGTGTCATGTGCGGTCCTAAAGACTGTCATGGCAACGCGCATATTACACGCAGTCTTCAGTTACCCTCCCCCTGCCGTTTTTATAAGAGTATGGAGTGACTTTTGTCCTCCAATGAAGTCTCAGTGTGGTCAGAGAAGCAAACACCTAAATGTACATTTTTTGGAGACGTTCAAGCTAGGGATAAGGATGATTTATGTGACCGCTCCAAGCAGGGCCTGAAAACACGAACCACGCGCACTACAAATAGATTTGCTTGCGAGTGTTTATGTTAAAACACGAGAATATTTGCCTTTCCTGAACTTATATAAATGGAATGGATCCGACAAAACAAAGGCAGACAGTAATGGCCATTTCTGGCTTGCTAGTCGTCATCAGCCAGTCATAGCCAATCTCATGGCTTGGAACCCTCGAGATTCGAACCCGGGACCTTCCGTCACTGAGTTTAATACACTACCTCGGTCCCAGGGGCTCGTTGCTTTGTCGGTTGTGATCGTGAATACGATGAATATGTGGGCATTGCCGATCTGGTAGTGGAAAAGTTAAGTTCTGTCTTCGTCCTGGAGCTCACATCAGCCCCCCCGTAGGCAGTCATATAGTGACTAGTAGGATAGAATGAAATTAATCCGACAAAAGAAAGGGAGACCGGAATGACCATTTCTGGTTTGTTAGCCGTCATCGGCCGGTCATACCAACGCAGAAGCCCTTAGCCATACGTCAGCCATGACTCTCAAGTAGGAGGCATAGAAGCGCAAAAATTTAGTTGGTAAAAATTAAATGAGGGAAGGGGTTCTGGTTATAGCGGGGTACTTTATTCTTATGTGTAGCATAGCGGAATAAGTACTGGAAAGTGTGCCAGATAGGCGCTCCTCCCGTCGTGCCTACCAACCTCAGCCATTGTGTATATTCCCAATTGAAATCGGTGATATACGGAAGCCATGGCACAGTGGTTAGGGCGTTTGACTTCTGACCAGAAGGTCGCGGGTTCGAGTCTCGGGTGGGGCACCACCCCTCAAATTGGGTACGGGTAGCTTATAACGACCAATGAGCCTCCTCCTCTTTGGCAACACATTTTTACTGGAAAGTGTGAATACATTCAATATTTGAATACGTGCTATGCACACTGGTCTTCAGCCCCATCATTATGTCTACTGGCTAGAATGCCAGTGTAAGACAGTTCCACAATCGCTTGCCTCACAACGTGGGCACAACAACCCTGGCTTCTGAATTAGTTTATAGTGGTGGGGACATACTTAGCATCTAGAGCACTTTCCATTCTGGACCAGCCCTCCTCCAGTGGCAAGTCAATGCCAAGCCGACGCGAGATGGAGAAGGCGCAATGGCTAGGAAAGGCAAGCCCTGCACGCGCGCCACACATGAGCTAATCCCAAGAACCTGATTTTGTATTCATTCCGTAGTATTTTTGTCTTCTTTTAATCCGTGTTACTTGTATTTAGTAAGTAGATGCTAACGTTACATTAAATTACCGCTCCGACAGGTCTACCGTGGCGCCGAGGGCATGGGCGTCCGTGTTGATTCGGCGTTTTCAGGCGCTGGTGGTGTGATATCGCCCTTCTATGACTCCCTCATTGTGAAGCTGATCACACACGCGGACACCTTCCAAACCAGCGCCATCAAAATGCAACGTGCTCTCAAAGAATTCAGAATCCGCGGTGTTCATGTAAGTAGTCATCTGTTTGTACATTAATAGCAATGAAACTCCCTCCCCCCAAGCGACCGTTTAGCCTGTAACTTTTCATATCACTTACTCAACCAGCATTTCAGTTGGGCGAAAAACTCAAAAGCTGAGCCGAATGCTCCGTGGCGGTGTTTAGCCGGAGGGGGGTAACATACTGACCGTGGCAATAACTGACAGTAATGTGAAAACCTGCAGAGCAAAGGCCGGATATCGAAACCGAAACGCGCCGGCAAGCAAGACCGTTTTCAGAGTCTCGGTATCCGTCATTCTGAAGACAGTAGGCCGAGATCGTCGACTCTAATAGAGGTGAATATGTGAGTTCCAGGAAGCAGTTTAGAAGAAGGAGATGCAACTACTGGAACAAGAGTTTTATTGTCTTGAGGTTTCGGATTCCGTCGGGAATCCTTAATCATAGATAATGGTAGGATAATCGGAGCCATACGTCGACTCCAAATTCGCTACCCGGGTTAACGTCAAGTAGAACCCGATCACAGCATTTTAAATCAGTCATAATCGTGGCCGTCTAAAAATGAGCTTGGTTAATATTTAAAGCGTGAGACGCCTTCGAAAGCCCTTCGTTAGCCACCAGCTGATTTTGTGTCGACTTTTGCAACAATACTTTTTTCTTCCTTTGCAGACAAATATTCCATTCCTGCAAAATGTCCTCAAAAGCAACGACTTCCTCAACGGTGCTGTGGACACCTCCTTTATCCCTAATCACCCCGAGACCCTGCAGATAACCCCGCCTAAAAACCGGGCGCAAAAACTCCTCAAATACCTCGGTAAGCCGCGCTACCCTACGTCCCGCCCGAACTGGCATTTCTTTTTGCAACATATCATATCTACTTAATTGAATTGAGTAACCTATATATATTCTGTTTGATTCAGGCGAGGTAATGATCAACGGTCCACTCACGCCCCTGGGCACCCCACTGAAACCCGCCGAGGTCACCCCAACCGTTCCACCGATTGAACCCAACAAGCCAACCCCCTACGGTTTCAAGGATGTTCTGAGAGAAAAGGGTCCAGAAGGTTTCGCAAAAGCCGTTCGTGAGCATAAGGGTCTTCTGATGATGGACACCACTATGCGCGATGCACATCAATCCCTCTTGGCCACCAGAGTTCGAACGCACGATCTCCTTCGCATTTCTCCCTTCGTTTCTCAGAAGTTGCCTCAATTTTACAGCCTCGAGAACTGGGGCGGTAAGTGTTTGCCTGCATCCCCTCCCCCCCGGCTAAATTTTACTGAGTGTAAATTAGCAAATTAACTTTTTTAAGGCACTAATTGTTATAATCGTGCCTTTTCTACTCCTTTTCGACAGGCGCTACATTTGACTCCAGCATGCGTTTCCTCCATGAGTGCCCTTGGGAACGACTGGAGAAACTCCGTGAACTGATTCCCAACATTCCCTTCCAAATGCTCTTACGTGGTGCTAATGCAGTCGGCTATACAAACTACCCGGACAATGTTGTGTACAAGTACGTCTAACTATTCTATAATTGAATCTACTCCGCTCGGTACACTTATTATGGTACTTGCTGATATATTTGAGTAGTTGCATATCAGTACTTTCGAAGTAGTCACCGCACACGAACATTTGTTCTCACCCTGACAGGTTCTGCGATCTGGCTGTGAAGTCCGGCATGGACGTCTTTCGCGTCTTTGACAGTCTTAACTACCTCCCTAACCTCTTCGTTGGCATGGACGCGGTTGGCAAAGCTGGCGGCGTCATTGAGGCCTCCATCTGCTACACCGGTGACATCTGCAATCCTAAACGACCCAAGTACAACCTCAAGTACTACCTTGACTTGGTAGATCAGATCGTAAAGGCAGGAACCCATATTCTGGCAATCAAAGACATGGCCGGTACATACATGCC